AACACACGTCACTCTCGCAATTCTAACACTCAGATAACTCTCAAACAGACAGGACCACATCACTCACTCACAGCCTCGCCGCCAGGTCTCACACTCAACACACGCGGCTAGCCTTGTGCTTCTCTCGACGTTGCGACCGGTAAATCTCATAAACAAAAGGAACTCTAGGGAGAGCTACGCTCACCCGCTGTCTTACAAACACACCCACCGTCGGATGCCTATAGTTCAGGTGAGCTGACGATGAATTTAGATACCGCGATCCAGTTAGCCTCATCTTACTTCTTTACCCTCTCTCTATCCTAACTATCCCATTATTATCTGGCTCCTTCCTCCGCCCTACAAGGTATCCCTCTCATTTATCGAGCTACCTGGGCTTATTACTTATTCATCTCCATGTGTGTGCTTCGCGACGCTTCGCTCCTTCAACTCTGTGGTGAGAGTCATATAGCCTGTCTGTACTGTTTTTCATTGCCCGGTCTGCTCTTGTATGCAGTGGCCCTTGATAGAAATGCCTGTCGACCTCGGCGTCTCCTTTATCACTCTCTCCTAACCCACACATACATTTCAATAACTATCATCATTATACTCTCAGTCGCATTTGTCGTCTGTTATTAAGCATAGATTCATCCCTCATTAACGGCTATATATATTTGGGCTTCTCCGACGCGGCTCACCGCTTTATGTACATACTGGGTAATATGGATAGCTACCGTATTAGTCCTTTCCTGTGTAGCTTATTTTAGTTATAATAATGGTGTGTGTGTCTGTACCGAGTAGCTTCTTCGGTGCTGCCTGTTCTGTTTTGTGTTGTATCGCTGGTGTGTTTGTCGGTCGGCTCTTCTAGGAGCTTTGTGTCGCGATCGTAGTCGTGTCTCGTTGCTCGTTGTCTGGTTCCTGGACTGTTAGTGGTTCGTCTCGTCCGTCGCTCGATGCCCAGAGTCTATATCTTCATTGGGCCTATACTTTGGTAGAGAACGCGCGCGCTGTCTTTATAGCCAACCGGATAAGAGGATAGTGCTCAATAGTCACGCTTCCGTGTACTCTATATAGGCACGTGACATCCTCTCTCGCCATGTACCATAGGTGAGCAGCGAATTTTTCCTAGAAGATGTGGACACGAGCGAATGCGCACTGATTCAGCTCCTTTTTCAAGTTATTGGCAGTTCTCATTCTCCGCAACGTAATGCATTTCTTTTATGCACTCGCATAGTGTCAGAGAAACTCAAGCCGGGCGACGACGACTCCAGGAGGCCCGGAGGGTCTTTTCATAGGAGTGCTATGTGCTGGCAGCTGCTGGTGTTTGTCGATCCTGAGCATTGAGCTCTGGCAACTGCGTCTATGCTACAATAAGGGCTACAGCACTCGGGCATACATTTCTCATCGCACTTCTCTCGTCCTTGTATATATAGTAACATATTGGTCATGGCTAGTAGCTGCGGCTAATTTTCACTAATGCTGCATTTGAATAGTATGGATTCTGTACATAGACTGATGTGTTGCTGTTTTGTTATGTTGTACTGTAGTTCTAAACTCGGATGCTTCTGTACGGTGTATAGTATTTGTGAACCTGGTCTGCAGGTGTATGGATAGAGTATAATTTAATTAGGTAAAATCAGTCTCCTCATGTCGCTCAATGTCATCGCTCTATCGCTGTCTTCGCTGGATATGATGTGCGCGAATTCTGGTCTCAATGTAGGGACATGTAGCATAATCGCTTTAATTTCTGTGGATGATACTTGACTATTTAGTAATTGGCTCATGAGCATGTGTCGGCTTGTAGCAATTTATTATGAATTACTTTAGTCTTGTGTGTCTGGCCTGTTAATAGCTAATAATATTAGACAACATAGATCATATTACTCATTTATAACATCGCTCTCATTGTTATGTGCTCTGTGTCCCGCTGCTTGTGTGTCCATGTTGTACGCATTTAAATGCACTCTTTAATCTCAAGTTCTACTTCTCATCTCTGCTACATGATTGATAGGGTAAAATGCGTCTAGATATATTTATCTATAGATCGTTCCTCTCCTCTATGGTCCTTCTAGATGCTCTGTTGCTGTTGATCTGACGGTTCTGTTGTGTGGTGTCGGTAAACAGGCATAGGCAACTGCGCATATGAAAAGGAAGCTGCAGTTTACCTACCGATTCTTTCTGTCTCGGTGCTGAGTGTCGTTGCTATATTATATACCCCTCAGCGTGACTGTTCCGCTCTCCCACTTATCCTCTGCTCTGTCCGTCATCGGCTTACTGATTAATGTGCGTCTATTTAGTTCGCTTATCATTGCATAGGGTAGTGCTCGTTGGATGCTGGCTCTGTGTGAATGACTCTTTAGAGACTTGGCTTTATTCGCGCTGTGCATAGTTCGATAGCTGTCATAGTGCTGGCTGGAGCTTGTGTGGCTAGATGGATGCTCTCTGTGTCTGGCTGGCTGGCTGCTGTGTGGCTGGCTAAATTAATGCTCTCTGTCTCTGTCTGTCTGGTTGTCTATTTGTCTATTTGTGTGGCTAATGAATGCTCTCTGTCTCTCTCTGTCTGTTTGTCTGGCTGTCTGTGTGTCTGTGTGGCTAATGGATGCTCTCTGTCTCTGTCTGGCTGGCTGGCTGGCTGTGTGGGCTGTGGCTGTGTGGCTGGCTGGCTGGCTGGCTGGCTAGCTGGTTGTGTGGCTGGCTGGCTGGCTGGCTAATGGATGCTCTCTGTGTCTGTCTGTCTGTGTGTCTGGTTGTCTATTTGTCTATTTGTGTGGCTAATGGATGCTCTCTGTCTGTTTGTCTGGTTGTCTATTTGTCTATTTGTCTATTTGTCTGTCTAGCTAATGCTCTCTGTCTCTCTCTGTCTGTTTGTCTGCTGTCTAGTAATGCTTTCTATTCTCTCTGTCTGTTTGCTCTGGCTGGCTGTGTTGGCTGTGGATGCTCTCTGTCTCTGTCTGGCTGCTGGCTGTCTACTTTGTCTATTTGTCTGTCTAACTAATGCTCTCTGTCTCTGGTTGTCTGTCTGGCTGGCTGTGTGGCTGCTGTGTGGCTAATGGATGCTCTCTGTGTCTGTCTGTTTGTCTGGCTGTCTATTTGTGTCTAACTAATGCTCTCTGTCTCTGTCTGTCTGGCTGGCTGGCTGTGTGTCTGTGTGGCTAATGGATGCTCTCTGTCTCTGTCTGTCTGGCTGTCTATTTGTCTGTCTAACTAATGCTCTCTGTCTGTCTGTCTGGCTGGCTGGCTGGCTGTGTGTCTGTGTGGCTAATGGATGCTCTCTGTCTCTGTCTGTCTGTGTGTCTGGTTGTCTAGCTAATGCTTTCTATCTCTCTCTGTCTGTTTGTCTGGCTGTTTGTGTGTCTGTGTGGCTAATTAATGCTTTCTGTCTCTGTCTGTCTGGTTGTCTATCTGTGTGTCTAACTAATCTCTCTCTCTCTCTCTCTCTCTCTCTCTCTCTCTCTCTCTCTCTCTCTCTCTCTCTCTCTCTCTCCTCTTTCTCTTTCTCTCTCTCTCTTCCTCTTCTCTTCTCTTTTTCTTTCTCTTTCTTTTTCTCATTCCTCTTTTCTCTCTCACTCCCACTTTCTAATATAGGCACATAATTTTCGTTAAAGATTCATATATATGTAAAAGGTCCGTTTACCGTTATCGTGTGTACGTAGTTTGAAATAACGATAAAGAAAATGATAAAAATCTTTATCTCCACCTTCAATAATCAGCGGCGTTGCCATCGGACGATCACTTTATAAAGAACCGCCAGTGCGCTTGGGAGTCGCGCGAAGCAGTATTGCCATAATCGAGAGAAAAGTTTTGTGCCCAAAAATACAGCTGTTCGTACTGTCGCTTTTTGGCTTTCCCGCCATAAATGGAATCCAGAGAGCAGAGACAAAATCCAGCGTGAATGTCAGTGGAATCGATTCGGGGCTTCGTCACTTTGATAAGAGAAGTGTAACAAAGATAAGGATAACGATAATCACCGTTGTGAACACTCTATAAGCGCCCTGGTATTCGAATCCGTTGTCAGGCAGCAGGACGGTTTCACCACCAATGGCAATGATGGATGGCGTGGAGTTCGCTTAATAGATGTTTGATTGGCTCTGTTCTTTCGGAATTTGTTTTAAGCACTGACTTTATTCTGATAATTCTTAGCGAAATCATTATTTGCAGAAAACTTGAAACATGGGTACCTGTTTGATCCGCAATGTGTTCGTTTCCTGCCGACGATCTGAAAAAAAAAAAACTTCAGCGAATATATTTTGAAAAGAAAATGTCTGTACATAAGTGTGTCCAACTGCATCAGCCTTATTAGATAGATAACAATGATAGCAGTGTCGTGTAATGAGCTAAACAAGATAAGATATAAACATCTATAGATAGACATGCAGATAGATAGATAAACAAACAGATATATAGACAGATAAACACACACACACACACAGATATGCAGGTAGACAGATAAATAGATAGACAAACAGACAGACATAAATAGCTAGATAAGTAGACAGATAGATGTGAAATGTTCTCCCAACCCTCAGTGTGGTTGGATAATGTTGGGTTGAGGCAGAAACGCCCACTAGACACAAAATCACAAAATAGGTTGCTGGAAGATGTGACAACCGTTTCGAAATGCTCGAGAGGGATTTCGAAGCAGTCGTCGCATCTTTTAAATCAACTTATTTTTTTTGCGCATAGTGAGTGTCTTCCGTTTTCTGAATACGGTTGAGTTATGCGAAGAGACCTGATCCCTGTAGCAACGGAGGGAAGCAGCTCCTGGTTTTTTGTTTCGAAAAGAGGAGAGATAAGTCTGGTAAGGTCATCTGCAAAAGAATACAGTTCTCACTTATCGAGGTATTTCATTTACAATATTGATATCAAGAAAACAAAGAGACAGTAGCCATGTTGTATCGTGCTCATCGATTCTTATTTTGCTAAATTACAATATCACGTCCCTGGAAAGCTAAAGTGAAGACCCGAACGCCCCTGGCTGAGAGACATGACTTGTGAAGAGACTCTTGAGCACAGGTCAGGCTGAG